GAGTACATTAAATAAACTTGTGAGAGCAAGTGGCGTGTTGATAGGATGCACGGTTACATATTTAGACGCCAAAAATATTATGAAAAAAGGCAAAAACGGGCCGTTTGGGGGCAAAAATTGGAAAGAAACTCAAAACACTCTTGAGATCATAATGGTCACCTTGACCTAGATTAAAGAAACTTGTGAGAGTAAGCAGCGCATCAATAGGATGCACGGTTATAGATTTAGACAATAGACTGTGAGGAAAAGAGGCGAAAACGGGGCGTTTGGGAGAAAAAATTGGAAATAGCCCCCAAACAGCCCCGAGATCATACAGTCACGTAGGAGTACATTAAATAAACTTGTGAGAGCAACCGTCGTGTGGATAGGACGCACAGTTAGATATTTAGACGCCAAAAATGTAATAAAAAAAGGCAAAAAAGGGCCGTTTGGGGGCAAAAATTGGAAACAGACTTGAACCACCACCGAGATCATAATGGTCACCTCGGCCTAGATTAAAGAAACTTGTGAGAGCAAGCAGCGCGTCAATAGGATGCACGGTGAGAGATCTAGACGAAAATTGTGAGTAAAAGACACAAAAACGGGCCGTTTGGGGGAAAAAATTGGAAATAGCCCCTAAACAACCCGAGATCATCACAGTCACGTAGGAGTACATTAAATAAACTTGTGAGAGCAAGCGGCATGTCAATATGATGCACAATTAGATATGTAGACAACAAAATGTTATGGAAAAAGGCAAAAAAACATACTATTTTAGGGCTAAAAAATTGGAAATAACATCGAAACACCCCTGAGATCATAATGGTCACCTCAGCCTAGATTAAAGAAACTTGTGAGAGCAAGCTACGTGTCAATAGGATGCACGATTAGAGATTTAGACAAAAAAAATGTGAGGAAAAGAGGCAAAAACGGGCCGTTTGGGGGGACAAAATTGGGAACAGCCCCCAAACAGCCCCGAGATCATCATGGCCTCGAAGGACTAGATTAAATAAACTTGTGAGAGCAAACAACGTGTCGATAGGATGCACGGTTAGAAAGTTATGCAAGAAATTGTCCATTGAAATGTGAAAATATGCACAGTTAGAAGCAAGAAATGGCATATCATGCCTAAACCTCGAATGTAACAGACATTTCTTAGCAACCTCATATATGAAACATATGCCTTCGGCTTCACAGAGACGTAACAATTGGAGAAATAGGAGTTATGAGAGGTATTGAATAAAGTGCATTCATGAAATTACCATATAGCAAAAGGCTACATATATTTTCAATTACCATAAGACTCCAACAAAATGTTTTCAGAAAATCTTGTCAATCACATGGACTTACAATTGATAGAATTTTACACGTCACCCTTAAACAGCTTCCACCACTTACAACAACTTTTTAAATAGTGGTGTGACTTCTAAGTTCAAAATAGTTCGAGCCAACAAGAAAACACTACCTTTTCTACATAGTTCTTGAAATAATAACAAAACTAGGCATTTTTGTAAAGAACAATAATAAGAAGCCTTATTTAACCACAGATGAAAAAAACTGGGGATGAGGCCAACGTGGTTGGTATTAAAAGTAGACGACAAACAAAAATGGAAATGATCATATTGATAGCATTGTAATGTTGGCTGGATATATACATATGACTACTGTTGTTTTATTTACAAACTAGTATTGAGAGTTCAATAATTTGTTCCAGTTACCTGTACTGAAATTGGACATTTTTCATTTTTTGTCCAATTTTATAATCATTTGATGTGCAAATTTTTCATAAAAAAAAGTACGTGACATTATTTCTCTATTTATTTGGTACAGATGGATGAACTCGTGCATGAAGCTAAATTGTACAGGACTAGGTGGTACTTGTTACATTTTTTGAAGAATTATATATTTTTGGATAGATGTTTTGGTGGAACATATTTGGATACAATAGTAGTTATATTTTTGGATGGACGTGTATAGAAAATATTTGAGTGGACTACTAATTATATTTTTTTATAGATGCACATGGATAAAAATTTAAAACTTAATGACAAGTACTGGTTATGTTTTAAATTTTTATGCTATATGGATATGACTTGGATGATTATATAGATTATAAGTGGATTTTTAATTGGAGGAATATGTAGTTCGTAATTACTTATGGATGAAAACTTATAATAGTTGCTGATTTTCATTAAATAGGTTCATGATTGGATGATTTATGTATTTTGTCAAATGTTCATGATTCAATTGATTTGAATGATGCTTGCAAATTACATATTATATTGAATGGATTGGATGGATTATTATGAATTAAAGGTTTATTTTGTTGGAAGTTGGCAACCAAATTTTGTTTTTGTTTTTCCTGTTTTAGCGACCAAGTCATTAGTCAGGAAAGATAAGTAATACTTTTGCCGACTAAATAGGGTAGGCGAGAGGGTACATTTAGCGACTAACTATTTAGTCATTAAAATCATTAATTTTGGTAACTAAAGGATTTCGTCGCTAATAGGTTATTCATTGCCGACTAAAGTTTTAATTGTGCAAACATTTCTTTTTGATGACTAACATGTTTTGTAGTAGAATGTGACACTTGGCGACCAAACTTTTTGGTCGTGGAATGTGACAATTTGATCGTGGATTGTGACAATTAGCAACCAAACTTTTTGGTCGTGGATTCTGACAATTGCCAACCAAACATTTTGGTTGTGGAATCTAACAATTGCTGACCAAACTATTTGGTCATTGAATGTGTCAATTGCTGACCAAACTTTTTGGTCGTTGAATATGACAATTAACGACTAACATATTTGGTCGTTGAATATGATAATTGGCGACTAACATGTTTGGTCGAGAAAAATATGGCTTTTTGCAACTAAAGTGCTTTCGCTACTAAATGGATTAGTCGCAGTAGTTTTATATTTAGCGACCAAAAATTTAGTCGGCAAATAAAACTTTTTCCCGACTAAAAAACTTTTTAGTCGCTAATTACTTTTCGCGATCTCAATTGGTGACCAAAGGGGGCGACCAAAAAAATTAGTCACAAATAACTTTTGCCGACCAAACATGGATTTTTGCCAACTAAATTTTTAGTCGGCAAAAGTGCGAGTTCCTATAGTGATAGTAAAACAAAATCAAGTTTGGAAGTTAGTGAGAAAGAAAAAATTATTTTTTAAAATTGAATGAATTAGACAAAAAATTCTTGTTCAAAACTAACAACTCATGGTGTTTAATTTTATTTTATTAATTTTTATGCTAAAGTGTCAAAGTGGCATCAAGGTGAGCAAAAGAAAGGAAAAAAAAAAAAGAAAGGAAAAAAGAAAGAGGGTGATGGCAAGTGTTAGGTGTTCAAAACATTTTACATGTGTGACAAATACAGCCCAAAGCATATTCTATTATATTAATGGGTCATGTTGCTATATACATTTTAAGGAAAACTCTAGGGTGTGACCTTTTTTTCGGTAGATATCATATGCAACGTATTATAAATTAACATAATTTTATTATAAAATATTGTAATATTAATTACAAAATATTTGACATTATCACAAATTGTCGTGACAAAAAATATCGTAACCAAATTATAAACTTTAATTGCATGAATTATAAAATTTTAGATATTTTGTTACGTTAATTTGTGATGAGATTATGCATTTTATAATTGATATTACGAAATCATACCAATTTGTGGTATGGTGCATACACTACAACAAAAAAGGTCTATGATGACAAAAACGCGTGACGAAAAAATAGTTCGTCTCCAAATATACATGTTTTAGTGATGAAAATAAATATGGTAAAATTACACCAATTTGTGGTAGGGTGTACACCATAGGCTTTCCCACATTTTAAAAGGGGTGTATATCATATGCAAGTTATAACATTTGTAATGTTGATTATCATAAATATCATAACAAAAACTTTTTCAGTCATAACTAAAAAAAATAATGAATCATAACCAAACACCACATAAAGTATATTAAAAAATCTTTTAAATCATAATCAAAATAATAATCGCAATATGTTATCACTTACGTCACAATAAATTATAACTATAACACCACAATAGTTCATAATCAAATAATAACTAATACCACAATATGTCATAATTAAAAATCGCAAATATTATAAGTTGGGCATATGGTACATACTCAAAATAGGTTATGTGTTACAAATTTTTCTTTATTTTAATACATATAAAACATAGTTGTTGTTGTTGTTGTTGTTCACTACAACAAAAACACACTTTAGTGGCATTACACAAGTAGCATATTTTTAGAAAATGCCACAAAAATAATATTTGGTGGCACGTTTTTGAAAAATGCCACTAAACGACATACATAAAAGGCTCTGGTGACATTTCAATAAATAAGTGTCACAAAACTACAACAAAAATACACTTTAGTGACACTATATTAGTGGCATATTTTTAGAAAATGCCACGAAAAAAATATTTGGTGACACATTTAGAAAAATGCCACTGAACCGCAAACATATAAAGCTCCAGTGGCATTTCAATAAAGAAATGTCGTATCAATTTTATGGCATTTTATAAAAAGAATGACACAAAAAATTTGTTTAGTGACATTTATTAACAGATGCCACTAAACTTTAGTAGCAATGGCATTTTTAAAAAAATGTCACTAAACTGGGTAGGTGCAAGTCACTTTTTATGGCATTAGGCGAAAAGTGTCATAAATAATATTTTATAGCATTTTGAGAAATGTCACTAAGTTAAAATATTTTAAGATTTTTATACAAACATAAAAATAAAATATAACAATAAATCTCTAAACATCTTTTTCATATATTTCAACAAACATGAATTAAGCACCAGTTTACCAAAAATTGGAAGGAAAAAAAGAGGGGGGGGGGAATAGTGCTATAAATGATTGGTTTGATTAGGGTTCAAGGCAACAAGAAGACATTCCCATAGCAAAAATTTAATTTCTGTGTCGATACGGGATTTCTCTCTCTTTCTCTCTCTCTCTCTCTCATGATCTCTTAACTCTCTCTTTCTCTTAATTGCTCTCGATCTCGCATCCTCTCTCTGTGTTCTCAATCAATCATTCCTTCAATTAATCAATCAATCAATCCATTGAATGGTGGAGGAGAGTTTCAAATACGTGATTCTGAACCGTGACATCTCCACTGTGAGTATCTTTCATCGTTGTTCGCTGTATTATTTAATTATTGATTCTCAATTTGATTGCATCTTTAGTTTTGTACTTTTCTTCTTGTTAAAAATCTGAATTTGAATCACGAGTGTGGTCTATCTGTTTATTGCCTGACTTGTCCATGGAGTTGAAAGAAAGCTATAGTTCCACCGTTGTTGTAAGTGAGCTATATAGTTCCACCGTTTGTGAAGAAGACAAAAAATTGCAACTTAGCAATGAATGTTTTTCAGATAGATGTGTTCGTTGACTTGGGAGTTGTAAGAATTTGATGGTGAAACGGTGATGGCGGTATGTGATATTTGTAGAAGATTGAGGTGTATTCTTGCAATCTCAATATATATAGACATATATATGTGTGTGTGTGTGTGTGTGTGTGTGTGTTCTACCTTCTAAAACACCAAGTATGTTTTCTTCCTTCTTGTTCTCTTGTATGTTCCTCCTTGTTTTCTTCCTCTTTGTGAAAATTTTTTCCCACCACGTGTTTGATTATATGCTCAAATGAGAAATTCATTAGAGTTTCACTTTCTGATGTCTCTATGCTTTTTCCGTTTTTTTTTTTTTTTTTTTGGTTAATAGATGTTTTAGTTTTGATTGTATCAGCATATTTTTGAAATTGTTGCATTGTAGGAGCTACTTATACGAGACTTATTATTTATGTGTTTTAATTTGAGCAATACCAGGCCATATATTTGTTTATATTTATTTGAGAAAAAAAATGAAAAATTTGGGTTCTAACTTGAGCTGGGTTTTGAAAAGTATATTAAACAGATACACATACGCATACATATACACATCCAATTTTCAACCTCACTGAAACAAAGATGATGATTCTCAAGTTGTGAAATTTTCATAGCTAAAAAGATAGTTTCATTTTTCCAAAGTCCACATCCAGGAAGTTTACTGAATCCAGACATAACTTGAATCTGGCAGCCCCTGCCTCATAGTTAACTTCCTTACTATTCATAGTTAACCTTGAAAAAAATAGCATTTGGGTTTGATTCAGCCAGTTGACAGATCTGATACAAGATAAAAAGGAGAGAGACTATTAACATATTAATCACCAGTTATGTAAAAAGCTGAAAGTATTAGTAAATGAGCTCAAGAATGTATAACATTTTCTTCCTCGCCTTTATTTAGTCGTATGTCGTAGTCAAGCTCATTTGTTAAGCCCTTGATCCACTAATCCCTTACTACCTCTTATAATCTGTTGATCAATTTCATTTGGAAATGAAAAAGTGACTTATCTCGTTGGCCATTTGTCTGCAGGTGAATGGTGTTGCCTAGTTGCATAGTGACATTTTAAAGTCCGAGTTATTTGTAGACTACCACCACCAGCCACTGCCCCTCCGATGATGTTAGTTACACGAGCACCAATGGATTGATTCAGTGAGATACTTGGATTAATCCGGTGAGAGCCTTGGATTGCATGCCTTATTCTATTAATTCAGTTTCTCCTCTCTCATCTCTCTTTGATTTTGATTTGATTTCTAGAGTTTTGATTTCGATTTCTAGGTTTTTGATTTTGATTTGATTTCTATTCAATTAACCTAAATTTTTCTCCCTTGCAGTTTCATTTCAACTCTTTGATCTCAAGCAGCAAGGATTCATAGAGAGACAGGACCTTGTGAGGTATTTTGATTTGTGTTGTGTTTATAGGTCTTCAATGAAAATTTCTATTGATTTGGTTATGTAACATGTTATGGATTGCAAATCGTACTTTTTTTTAAATTGTTTGTAATGCACTCCAACCCCAACTCTTAACTTCCTATATTTCAGCACCTCTTGCAATTCGAAGTTTATATAGCTGAAACCTATCTATACTTGGTGGGTCTTCATTATATTTAATTCAATATGGTTTTCAACGATTTGATCGTTGTCCATGGACCTAATCCAGATTTTGGCACTTCCTCTCTCAGGTTTTAATATATCAAAATGAGGCTGAAAAATGCTTAATTGAAACGTCTGTAAATTCATTGCGTATGAGCCTGAAGGTGAGATAAAGTAGTTTACATTTGGATAGATTCTTGAGTTCTTTCCGTTGGTTATGGATGAAATAGCACATGATGCACACTCACTATCTCACTTGTGTGTATAGAATCAGATTAGACGTACATACACACTCACCATCTCACTTGTAGTATGATTTCTTCGTCAAAATTTATGAATATATATATATATATATGACTGATTGTTCTTGTTTCTAACTGTCTGTTTGGATTGGGTGATTTGGTAAGAAATGAAGAAGAGTAAAAAAACTCACTTATTTTTTAGATTATAAATTACATGAGATTTGGTGTGAAATAGATTGATTCGGTATATGTTTTTTTTTATAATCTAGAGATTTGTCCACTAAAATATGATGTTTAATCTGATGATAGATGATGTATTAGTCTTAATTATTTAATAGATGATGTTTAAATTAGGTGAGATATCGCCTTATTTTTTTTTTTTTTGGATTATAGATGATCTATTAGTCTTAATTGAATAAAATCTAATGTTTAAAATGTTTTGTATTGTTGTTTACCAAGGAATTAGATCTTGATTGTTTTGGTGGTGTAAATGAATTGAAATTGAAAAGGGGTTTCGATTATTACTGTTGAAAACGTTGACAAAAAGCATTGCCGCTTATTCTGTTGATTGGAAATTTTGTTATATTTTGCTTAATTATTTAATATGTGGTACAATGTATTGACTGGCAGTTACTTATCAAAAAAAAAAAGACGGAGATAATCAGTATTATTTGATGACTCATTGATTTTTTGATTGCTTGGTTATGAATTATGATTAGAGGATGAAACTGATTCATGATTTGAATTGAATGTTTATGTAGAATGGAACCTCAGAAGAGGTGAAGAATATAGTTTTTGTCCTTAATGCTGGTGAAGTGCCTTCTCAGGATGCTGTGGGTAAGTAAATGGAGAATGAAACTTACAGCTAAATTGGTGTGTTTCTACTCTAATTTATATGTTTTCACAAGTTACTATTTTTATTTAGTACACCACTGGTGATTTGCACATAAAACTTCATTAAAATATCTTGCAGAAAATTAAGGGTCATAGTTTTAAGAATGTTTATGTCATATGTTATGTTGGTCTCAGAATATGGGAAATCTCTGCAGTAGACTGGCCTTCCATCAGCAGCTTCAGCAGTAGCTGTTGCTAGATCATCATCAAACTTCACCTCCACTGGCAATCTTAGCAGCTCATCTTTTCTATATATTTACATAGACATAGCAATGGCAAAATAAATGTAACATCAGTATATCTAAGCTGTAGATTTGGAAACTAAATCTATTAAAATACCTTATATTGTTTTTTTGTTGATCTTTGAAGCTGAAACATTGAATGAAATCCTCTATTGGGGTAGCAAAGATAAATAACACTGCTGAAACTAGCTCATTGCCAAGAAGATGCCAAGTATGTCAATTGCTTTCCTATCTTCATTAGCTCATTGCCGAGAAGATGCCAGAGTTACTAGATTTTGATAAGGATCTCGTTCATTTGGAAGCAGCCTAAGGTTTGCATTTTTCTTAATGTAGTATGTGAATGAGGTGTCTCTAGTTGATTTGTACAATTTATTGCTTGTTCTATCTACATATCAAATGGCCAGATCCAATTGAAGTCTTTAGCTGAAGAAATGCAAGCTGTGAGTAAAGGTCTTGAAAAGGTTGAGCAGGAACTCACTGCTTCAGAGATGATGGTGCCATCTCTGCAGGCTTCCAAAATGTAGGGGACAAACTTGGGACACTAGCTTACTCTTTTCTCTTCTTTTTTTTTATTTTTTTATTTTTTCAGATTTATGTTGGATCTTCATAGATGCACATAATTCTAGTTTCATGACAAAACTGGTGTATGTTTGTTGACAGTGATGCTGAGATATAAAATAAAGGGGATTTGCTAATACTGAAATTTTAATCTTAGTGGAAAATTCAGCAGTAAATTTGGTTTGATTTTTCTTTTGTTAAAATTTACAAGTTCTTGCTTAGTTAAGTATACTGACACATTTATCTTGCAGGGGAAGCTCAGTATTTTAGAGATGTATTTGTATGTAGGTTAGATTAGATGATGGAAGTGAAAATGCTAACATATTTCATTGCACGAGTCTAGCTAACTTGGTTAAGAACCAAATTTAATTGAAATATTTCTAACAGTGTTACCAAAAAAGGCTAATGCCTTAGAGATTTAGGGCTTTAAGTTTATAAGCTTCACAAGTTGTCGCATTTTATAAGCTATTGTCTTTGTTTGGATGTGCATACGGCTAGGCAAGGTTATTTTCTTGTGCGTGTGTATATATATATTAAAAATAACTTTCTACGGTATGCAAAATTATATCGTGAAAAGTGTAATGATTTATGACATGCAAGAAAATGAAGTAAAAGATTATGTATGGCATACAAAGTATGTCATAAATATATTAAAAATGATATTCTATAGCATACAAAATTATGTCGTGAAAAGTGTGATGATTTATGACATGCAAGAAAATGTCGTAAAATATTATATACGACATACAAAGTATGCTATAAATATATTAAAAATAATCTTCTACAGCATGTAAAATTATGCCATGGAAAGTATGATGATTTATGGCATGGCAAAAATATCGTAAAAAATTATATACGACAGACAAAGTATGTCATTAATGTTTAATTTATTATTTTTTACAACTTTACCTGCATGCCGTAAATGATACTTAACTTTTCATGGCATGTCATATAACGGCATTTGTGTGCATGCCGTGAAAGAGTTTTTACGGCATGGATTGCAAGCTATAAAAATTTAATTTTGTTGTAGTGCTTGATCCGATCATATGGACTTGTCAAAACAATTGGACAAGCTTTTGGAGCTCATGTTGTTCGGCCTGCTCCATTTGTGGTATATTTCTTTCGTAAATAATAATTTCATTAACAAATTTTTATTAACTTAATATAGTGTCAATTACCTTTATAAGTTTATCTTTTGGATGCAGATTTTGCAACTTATGGATGCTAGCCGAGAATATTTATACAAGTGAGGTTGAGAGTCTGGGAACTGATTTTGTTTTGATAGTTTGTCTCTCCAGAATATGGATGTCACTATAGCTTTTCAGAACTTATGGTTGGAATAATTTTCTTTTAAATTTTATTTGCTTTAACTTTGTTAATGTAGTAGAATATTTTATAATTTCGGCAAGGAAATTTTATTGCAATATAAATAAATTTATATTTCAATAATAAATAATTGATTGTGGTTTGAATTTTTTTTTATGTGATTATCCTATGGTTGTAATATTTATTTGTTGTTATGAAAATATTAAAGGATGAATGGATGTCAAATTAATACAGGATGTGGTGATTAATATTCAATTGCTTATAAAACTGATTCAATAAGTTCCAATGTCACTTATATCCCTTTAATGGCACAAATGAATTAGATTTAGTGGCATTTATATCAATTGTAAGATAACAAGTGTCATTAAAAATTCATGTAGTGGCATTTTTTAAATTGCAAGTCTTCTTTAATGACACTTCATAGCGTCACGAATAGTGTCTACCATGACATTAAAGTGTCACTGAAAGTGTGTAGCCTTGATGGTGTAATGGCATTTAGAAGTGTCACTAATTCTTTTTTTAATGGCGGTTGATAGTGTCACAAATAGTATATATCATGACATCAAAATGTCATTGAAAGTTTTTAGCCATGATGGTGCAATGGCACTTGCAAATATCTACCGTGGCCCCGATAGAAATGACACTTGTTCAAAATGCCACAAGACTAAAAAATGTCATTAGAAGAATAGTTTTGTGGCACTTTCAAATGTCACTAAATTAAGAAAATGTTGTAGTGGCTATTACAATAGCTATTTTATTAAATTCTCAAATGATGCTTGTGAGCTATTATAACTACTATTATCATATTTTAATTTTTCCATTTGATTAGCTATTACAATAGCTATTTTAATTTTTTTTATTACAATAGCTATTTTAATTTTTTTTAAAAAAATTTAAGGATAGCTACATTTGAAGAGCCTTGTGAGGCTCAATAAATAGTTTGTATGTATAAATAGGTAAAATAAAGAGTAGCATTGAAGTATATAGATTAAAAAATATATTTTTATTTTATTTTATATTTTAGCTAGTAAAAAGTGAAAAGTATGGCTAGAGATCCCATTGGAGTGAGTAAAATATATGAAGCTAGCTAAAATAACCAACATGCCTTGTTTAAAGAGTCCTTAAAGATACTCTAACTTAATAGTAAAAGAATTTTTAAAAAATTTAAATAAAGAAAGAAAAGCAATTCAGTTACAGAAAACTTCATAAATATAAAAAAAAATAAAGAGGAAAGAAAGAAAAGGTAAAAATTAAAATATTTTAGATTTTTTCATTAAAATGAGAATAATTTAAGAAGTTCCCATTTTTTTGCAATTACTACAAAATTTTTATTTGAAAACCTAAAAATGATCATGTATAAATTGCCTAATGTGAATTAATTTTATAATCCATCACCTTGAGTTATTTTTAGATTTAATATAAATAGTTATTGATGTAACATTTTAACAACTACTAATCATCAAATGAAGATTTTATTTTTTTCTAAAACAAAAAATATAAATAAAGATTCCATTTTTGCTCCAAATGGAAGTATTTATGTTAAATACATAAACTAGCCATATTCAGAGGTAAGTGGAAGGTCTTTTCAGTTTAATTGCAAGAAAATAAAGGGAAATTTACCCAAAATCCCATTACATAAACTTGCATACCCAAAAGCCCTGTATATTTTCTTATGAGATTATAAATGCCTGTCTCGTAAATGTTGAATTTACAGACAACCAATGTTTGTGTGTCACAATAGCAAAGTTGTGAGCCTTAAAGGTCACGTTTAGAAATAAATTATTTTAGTAATTTTATAATTTTTTAAAAAAATATTGCAAAAAATTAGAAAGAATAATTTAATAAGTTATAGTGATTTTTTTGACTAAAACTGAAGGATGCTAAACGAGACAATCTCTCTCAACATATTATTCCCACACTGCAACTCTTACACAATTTCCTTCTCACTCTGGCAACTCTCCTCCTCCAGCAAAGAAAACGGTGACTCCATCCCTTACCTACACTAGCAATTCCCCTTCTTTATCTCTCCGTCTTCTCTGTCGGTAAGCCCTCATCTCTATTATGATTACAAATCGGGACATAGCCACTGTCATGCTTTCTCTCTGTAAGATCTTATTAAAAGCTTAAGCCTACGATTTATGTTCACCCATTTTTGTTTTTTTTTTAGCTTTTTTCGTCATCTTCGTTTGCTTTAATCAAATTGTGCACAAATTTGAAATTACTACTTTGTAGACACCCCAGTTTTGACCGACCTCAAGACTTAGACGTCATTGGTTGTGCACTCGATGATTACAATTGCACTTGTTCTCTTTGAGTGCCCGAAGTCCTCGGTGGGACGCCCTGTCTTTGAGCCTTTAAAGCTTGTCCATTTTGTGCTTTGTTTTGGACCAAAAGCTTAGTATTTCAAGTCTGGAACTTTTGGTGACCTGTCGGCCATCAGTGGTGGCCATCGGCCATCAGTGGTGGCCATCGGCCATCAGTGGTGGCCATCGGCCATCAGTGGTGGCCATCGGCCATCAGTGGTGGCCATCGGCCTACACGTGTATGGTAGGATGTTTGTAAGCTTAAGGCTTGTTTTTCTATATATAGGGGGGTTCCTCCCCCATTTTGGAGGGTTAGCAATTTTGGAACAAGATTCTCTCTCTCTCTCTCTAGCAATTTTGTGCATAGTTGCTTGGATACACTCCACTTTTGTCTATCAATCCTTACCAAAAGTTACTAGTCTTTGGGCTGAGGTAGCGTGGGACCCTCTTTGAGCTCTAGGAGGTGGTCTTAGCTTGGTTTATTGCCTCATTTGTGTCTTCCCTTCAAAAGGTATAACACTCTCCTTTTATACTTGTTTTGCACACTTGCTTTGCCATCTTTTTCAACTGTTTTGGGGTTGGTTTTGAACTACCAAAAACTCTATTTTTGTGGCCTAAAAGTGTTGGTTTGAGGCCATTTTCAGTCAAGAGGTGGTTCACCCTTCTTACTTCTTAGTTTGTAAAGCTTTTGTACCTTTGTTAACCACTTTCAAACCAACGTTTTTGGGCGTTTTAACAACTGAATCTCAAAAGTTTTTCAGTGGCAAAAAATTCATTTTCAAGTCCAAAATTGGAGGGGTTAGCCTCCCCTCCTTGTGTCTTGTTTGCATGCCTATTTAGCCCCATGTATTAGCTTAATGTTTTAGCTTTTGTGGCTCAAGTTCAGTATGTTTTGAACTCTGTTTTGAGCTGTTTTGCCATTGCTTTGGCTGTTTGGTACTTTTGAGTCTTGTATTGCATAGTTGTAGTGTAAGTCCTTTCACTATCTTGGTGTTTTAGGGCTTTAACCACCATTGGTTTGAGTTGATTGCATGTTTTAGTGCTTTTTCTCACCTAAATTTAGCACTTATAATCTCTACAATCTCCCTCATTTCTTCACTTTTCAACCTTAGGGTTTTTTAAGCTTGAGATTGAGGCTCATGCTTAATGGTTTAATCCTCCTTAGAGGGTTAATTACCAACGGCATGAAGCTTCTTTCATGCCTTAAAACTATCCCTTGGTTGACACTTCTTTCATCTTAGAAGACGCTCACCAATGGACAAATAGATTAATGAATGATTTGGTAACTAAAATGTGTAAACAAATTGGCAAGTAAAAGTGGCAAGATAATTATCTCTTTGTGTTGCATTGCATGTGTTCAAATCGGACGTTAATTTGAACAC